GGGAGGGCTGTGCTCGTGGGGCACTGGCTGACCCCAGTCTTCTCCCCTCTCTCCTCTCCCTCTCCAGGTTCCCTGGTCCAGGCAGCGCTGACTCAGCCGCCCTCCGTGTCGAAAAACCTGGGAGAAACCGTCCAGATCACCTGCTCTGGGCTTGACAGCAACGAATATGCTGGCTGGTACCAGCAGAAGGAACCTGGCACTGCCCCTGTCACCGTGATCTACAAGGACAACCAGAGACCCTCGGGCATCCCTCCACGATTCTCTGGTGCTATGTCTGGCTCCACGGCCACCTTAACCATCACTGGGGTCCAAGCCGAGGACGAGGCTGTCTATTACTGTGGTAGCTTCGACAGCAGCAGTACTGCTGCCACAGTGACACAGAGCAGTGTTGCAGTGCTACAAAAACTTCCCGCCAGTGCAGGGACCAGTTTGGAGTCTCTGCTGTTTGATGGTGGCTCTGTTCCCTGCCGTGACCCTGTCCTCGCTGCCTGGGCTCCCAGTGGCTGTGGCTTACGTCCCAGGTCAGCCCCGCTTACAGCTCCAGGTCTGTGCGTGTGCCCTCTCATTTGTGGAGGGGATGATCCCAGCAGCCCTGTCCCTTTCCTGTCCTGTGCTGACTGACTGAGGTCCCCTGCACTCCCTGGCTGGCACCCAGGGCCCTGCCGGTTGCCTCCCCGCTCTCCTCCCAGCCCAGCAGCACCAGGAGCCCCCGGCGCATCACCCCCGGGGGGGTCCAGCTCTGCTGAAACTGCAGCCCCAGAGCCAAGAGGTGGGGACGTCCCATGGGCTGCCATGCCCTTTGGGATATTTCATTATTGACCATGTTTGCCCAGTGCCAACACAGAGTGCTCCTGCTCAGGCTGTGTGGGAAACACCAAGCTGCTCTGCCCCCTGGGAAGCCCCTGGCCCTGGGCAATGTCCCACCATGGCCCCACAACAGCAAGGGGCTGCCCTGCACCCTGACCTTGTCCCCGTCCTGTGTCGGGAGCTGCCGTCTGGGCAGCCGGTGCCTGTCTGGCCTTGTCCCTCTCCTCCTCGTGGTGCTCACCCAAGGCTCAGGTGCCCTACCCAGACACGCTGCCCTCAGCTGGGGACTTTGGACATAGGGGTCCAATCACCATCCTGCTGCCTGGGGAGGGCTGTGCTCGTGGGGCACTGGCTGACCCCCGTCTTCTCCCCTCTCTCCTCTCCCTCTCCAGGTTCCCTGGTCCAGGCAGCGCTGACTCAGCTGCCCTCTGTGTCAGTGAGCGTGGGAGAAACCATCCAGGTCACCTGCTTCCAGGGGTAGCAGCAGCTGGTATGGCTGGTACCAGCAGAAGGTTCTTGGCACTGGCCCTGTCACTGTGATCTATAGCAGCAATCGGAGACCTTCGGGCATCCCTTTGCGGTTCTCTGCATCCTGGTCCAGCTCCACGGCCACCTTAACCATCACTGGGGTCCAAGCCAAGGATGAGGTTGTCTATTAGTGCAGTAGCTTGGACAGCAGCAGTGATGGTCAAGGTCTTGGTGATGCTGAAAAAAATTTCTCTCCTGAGATTTTTCTGATTTTCCCCCTAACCATCACTGGGGTCCAAGCCAAGGATGAGGTTGTCTATTAGTGCAGTAGCTTGGACAGCAGCAGTGATGGTCAAGGTCTTGGTGATGCTGAAACGAATTTCTCTCCTGAGATTTTTCTGATTTTCCCCC